CGTGTAGTTGCAGTGCCATAACCTTTCTGCCTTTTAGAACCACTCTTTCTTTAATATTGACCCTTTCCCTCCCTGTACAGGGAAAGACTACTATAAATTCACAGCATCAAACCCAGTTACTCCTTTCATGGAAGGGTTTAATATATACACTGAGACCCAGATCTTCCATGAGGAGTGGGAACCTAAATGCTTTGATGATCTGGGCCTGAGCTATTAAAATATTAAATTCAGGTATTGTATGTACATTTCATTGTAGTCATTGACTATAATTTTTCTTTTTTACATACCGTACAAGGCACTTGAATCGTTTTAACGTGAGTTATACAACATTTTCTGTTGCAGATCTCAAGCAGTTAAAAAAAGTTGTAGATACCACCTTAATAGTACACTTATTTACATTTTTTAATGATGCTTTTATGGTCTAAATTTGAGTAGTTAATTCTGTTTAAAAAAAAAAAACACACATGATTTTTACTTGTTATTTTGATCAGTAAATAATGCAATGCTGTATTTTCTGTATTCTTTTTTTTTCTGTAACACACTTTTATTTTCACCTGTTTTAAATCATCTAGCGTGAGATTGAAACTGTTCAAAACCTAACCGGTATTAATCTGAAGGTACTAACAAACATGTCTTGAAGCCTGGTGAAAAGCCTGTGGCTAGTATTCATTTCAATTTGTGTGGGTCTGCTGAGCCCTGTTTCTAATAGGCTGGAATTAAACTGCCGGCTGTTAATTCCAATAGCAATAACCAAATGTATGCACATATATATCTGGTGACACTCACTTTTATTAAATAAAAAGGTATCAGTGCACATCATTTAGACATGTATTTGGTGTGCAGTACTTACCATTGGTTTTCTTAGAAATCTGGGGAGTAATCATCTAGGGCTCACTGGCCAAATGAAGCAATTGTAGAGCTTGCATTTGGAGTATGCTGGAATCATCTTTGAAACAATTATTATTGGCAAATTATACTAAGAAATTTACAAAAATCTCCACAGTACTGCAATAAGTTCAAGAATATTTCATATGATTAAATAATATTTATATTATTATGGGTTTACAGGTCTGCACTTTGGCTGATTCACTTACATTTTTCATGGTTTTACCCACCTATGTAATACATGTCATAGAATGGAGCTGAAAGAATGCTTGCAACATAATTAGACAAACTCAACAGTAATTTTAAAATTCATATTTTGATTACTTTTTTTTTTAAGGCCCTCTTGCACAGCAGAAGGATGTTTATTAGTATTTGCAAACTAATTTAAATTTCATACTCCTTAGTAAAATAATAGCAATTATTTTTGTCCCTTTTTGTCCACCACCTCCCATAATTTGGTGGCAGATTTCACTGGTCTGTGGGGAGCATCACAGTGTATAGTTATTTTGATTTTTGCCATGATGTTATATGCTATGGATTATAACATGATGAGTTGCTGAGTTTATTTAATAAGCTTGATAGGCATATGCTTATGTCTGATAAGAACTGATATCTGAAGAGAAAACCTCCTGCATACTAGTGGATGTATAGTTTCTCATTGGTGTCTGCTCTGATATATTCTGTGGTATGTTCTATTTATCCCAGTAGACAAAAGTTAATTAAGTAATCTGTTGATGTTTTGTAATTCCATCTGGTTTTCTAATTTTTTAATAATTAAAATTACCACATTAAAAATAATACAAATATTAATCTATAGGTGTGATGAAATATTGAAATGAACTAAGAATCCTATTCTTACCATTTTATAAGGCACCAGGTTAATTGATCCAGACCAAAAAAGCGTCAGGTAACCCTCTCTCAGAAATCCAGCTGAAATGTTATTCAGCAATTCATAAAGAAATTTCCATCCAGGTCTCTGAAACAGTGGCATTACTAGCATTCCCACTGGTCTTTCATTTGATGGTACTTCAGAATATTTCACTGGTTTAAATGCTTAATATTCTAACAGTTCTTTTAACTTTAACTTTCTAGTGAATTTGTGTATCTAATGCATATAATTACTGCAAGATCTCCCAAAATTTATCACTTCTTATTATTTTCCATTTTACTGTTAAATGTTCCATAACACCTAACACTCTCAGTGCTATGCTTCAGCTCATCCTGTTTCACAGAAAAAGGAAAATTTCAACTGTAAGGTTTCAAAATATTTTACCTTTTAAATCTCAGTAAGATGAAACAATGGATCAGATACATGTACCACACACAAGAGATTGTTGAAAAAAAGACCCTTACATTTGCAAAATTGTATTTAGACATTGAGAAATTCTGGAAGTAAGGAACAAGTGGAATTGTAATCTCACTCCCACATGCATACAGGTAGTGATGCAGTCTTATTTAATTGCCTGCTATGTTCCACCTTATGTTCACCCTATAACACATTGGACATAGAGAATGCAGGCAGTTCTTAAGCAGCTATTCCATAATTTACTCCTCCTTGCCCAAGTTTTGTTGCATTCCTTGCTACATACTGGCCAAGCCCTACTTAGAAGACTTTTTTTTCCCCATTAATTTTGCTTCCTATTCTTCCCATCATCGTTATACTTGAGGGATACATACATCTTAGTACATACGTGTTCTGAGCATTCCTGTGAAAGGAGACAATTTTCCAGAGAAAACCAACATGAGACTGTTCTCCCATGTCTTATAATTACCTGCCTTGTTCTCAACAGTTTCTGCTGCAAATGACATAGGATTCTTGTAAGTAACAACCTCCTTCATTGCACTATTATGATTAATTTCAGATCTAGTTCATTTTCTACAAATATTATGTGTGATGAAATGCTGGGGGAAAACATAATACATCACTGTATTTTGAAAAGTTGTGGGAGCCAAATTAAATTTTCACCAGCTGAACAGAATATTTGACTTCAGCATTTTTCCTTGGTCAACAAAGTTCAAACCATAAATCTCACTACATAAGTATCTGAGCCAAAAGAATAGTTGAATCACTAGTTTGCCATCCAAATGTGGACAGCAGTGGAAAGGAAAGTGGTGAGCCAGTTTGCCAGTAAGCAGGGAGGACATTTTCCAGAGAAGTAACAAGGCTTCCAAAGAAAAGTATGAGAATATTTCTATATTCTATTAGACGACCTCTTGGATAAGCAAAAGAAACTGCAAATGACAACATCCATCTTTTTTATTTTAGATAACCGCTAAGCAAGACTCTGCAAGCTGTTGCAATGAGCTGGCGGTATTTCACATAGTAGGTGGGTGACCAGAGCATGCAGAGTTGGTTCGTGTTGCAGCTCACAGACACAGACCATCAAAGGAAAATTCCACTCAGAGACAATACAGTAGCTGAAGCTATGTTGTTATTTTCTGAAAACAGCAATGAAACTTTGTATACAGACAACATTTGGCATCCACCTAGAAGGTATCTTGGTGGTGCAAAATCACAGTGAAGGTATTGGCTATTAAGTACTGGCATAGAGCACAAATTAATCTCAGACAACATTTTTGCTCATGGGGAATTTATTGCTTCCAGTGAGGAGAAGGAATAGCAGCAAGGACTGTTCTGCAGAGTAAGCGCTTTGGAATCCTTATATATGTGCATCTTCTTGCAGAGAATTACACGAAGTTTGAAGCCTAAAAAATTCCAGAATTAAACGCTCCTGACCAATAATGTAGCATTCACCCTAATTCTCACATTTTATGCTGAGACTTAAGGAACTGAAAGCTGCTACTATGTTTCTTTATGGATGTAATGGTAAGTTGGGATTGGGTGTTAGGTTTTTGGGCTTGGAGTAGGAAGAGGAAAGGGGGAAAATGCAGCAGGGGAGGTATTCACAGGTGTTCCAGAGGCAGGACAAGAAACCTCATATACTGCCTTGAGAGTGTCAGTACCAATTGCTAGTGGCACTGAGAACACATGAGGTCTTCCTTCATGTCCAGGTCCATCATTTAAAAATCAGAAATGTCACCAGAACCACTAGCTTCTGTCTAATTCTGCAGGAGTACCTGCATGGAACCCTGATGGAGGGTTTATGTCACTCCTCAGGGAGAAAAGCTTGAACCACAAGCAGCTTTTTGAGATGGAACAGTGTGCCAGTAGTGCTTTACCAGAAGTCAAATGTGACAAAGCAAGACACAGCTTGCAT